TCAACTTTCAAAGTGTTTTTTGACATTCTCTTCTTGTTTTGAATTCCAGAGTCCTAATCCATTGCTCACCTTCAGCGTCAAGACCCACGACAGAATCTATTACATGGTGGCCCCTTCCCCGGAGGCCATGCGCATCTGGATGGATGTCATAGTGACTGGAGCAGAAGGATATACCCACTTCCTGTTGTAGTGAACTTTGTCCGTGGTCCACTTCAGGGAAGACTGCAATAGTCTCTTACAAGAATGAAGCCATATCCAGTCTCAGATGGAAAGGCTTAACATCCCTTTAGCTGTGTGCACTCAGAACTCTTTTTATACTGGGGAGCCTTTCATACAAAAGGAAGCAGGGCTCACAGTGATAGAACTGGAGCACCTACAACAAAAAACCAAAAAAACCCGAAACACTATTTTGATAAAAGCATCACTTAGATGCACACTATTTTTTATCAGCTGATGTTGGTTAAATGAACTGAACAGTTTACACAATGTCTGTAAATATGTACTTAGAAATTCAAGATTATTTTAGCACCCAGCTTATTGCCCTTGGTGATCACCTGCCTTCTCTGTAGGGAGTAGAATTTTATACAAGTAGACAAATAATGACTTAGAAGGCAACAGGTTTTAGACACTTTGCCTTAGTTTTTAAATACTGCACCCAAACCAAAGACTTGGCTTGACTCCTGTTTCACATCAGTGTTGCTACCTAAATCATCTTTAAAATGGAATTTTGATGTTAACTCTGTAGTATCTACCCCCCAACAAGCTACTGTGCCTATATAATAAACCACTTTCTTTAAAAAATAAAAAACAAAAAAACTTCGTGTTTTAAGAAAAGGCCATCTCAGACAACAGACCTCTGCAACATCAGGCAGTTTGAATCAAGGAGAATATTTAGTGGAGGGATCTTGTTCTGTTGAAGATTTGTCCATTCCTGGAGCTGAGAATGAATGCAACCAGCAGCAAGTTTCCTCCAGACTGCTGGATTCCTCTTGCTTATGAAGCAAACATATTATCTGCACCCTCGAGTGGCATCACTATGAAACCATCTCTGTTTCACTGAAATTCTGAGCAATTGAAATAGCTTTTTTCAAAAGACAACCAAAATTCAAATTAACATTCGCTATGCTCTATCTTTTTTTCCACGTGTCTTTACAAATAGCCTTTGTTTTTAGAGCTAATGTTTGTTGAATGCAATGACTTCGGGCAAGTCACTTTTATAATCATGTTTCCTGTGCCATTTGTGTGTGTGTGTGTGTGTGTTCTGTGTTTGTAAGTATGAACAAATTATTTCCTAAAACATGCCAAATGGATAGAAGTAGAAAACAGTGTTTAGAAATGTGTCCATAAAATTGTCACATGGGTACAATTTAAAAAAAAAAATAAAATAAAACTTACAGTGTACTTTTATACCTGTATACATGTTACCAAACATGTTACCAATAATAGGATTTTTTGCAACTGGATAATGCAAGGTTTTACTTGAATAATGAGGGAAAAAGATCATGACTGTAGGAGGGTTTTTTTTGTTGTTGTTGTTGTTTTTTGGTCTGTGAGTTTTGCAGAGGTTCCCCTTCAATGTTAATGATCTTAAACATTAAAATGCAATTGTTAAGATTCGGTTGCTTGATATAAAGATACAATTTATCTGTACTGTACTTTCTTCATAGGATTCTAAGGGTGTTCTAATCAATTTGCATGTCATTAATCTTTTAGATATGTATGTGTGTTAAATGTATGGAGTTTGGATTAAAGTGTTGACCTTATTCACATTTGAAACACACTCTCTCTCTTTCTTTGGGCAATCAGCTATCTTAACCTAACAGAGAGTGAATTAATCAGCAACAGTGAGTGGTAGACTCTATATAAAGATCGGTATGTGCTGACATTATGATTGGAAATTCATAAACTAAAATAATTGGAAGCATCTCTGGCTACATTGCTATTATTGACAAAATGAGGTGAACACTGGAAAACATTACCCATTATTCTTATATTTTTGTATAAATTAGTTACCACTGAGGTCTTCAAAGGATACCCTGCCTGGAAGAGAAGATGCTGTCATGCAAAGGAAACTCTGAGGCCTCATTTGGTGGGCACCTCTTTCTGTTTCTCAGAATGAGATGCTACCATCAAAAAAACAAAAACAAAACTTCTTTTCCTTTTGTATGCTGATGCAGGGAACAGTGCCTCAAAATGCCCTTACAGGAAACAACCCGTCCTACTTCAAGTCCATTACTGTCACAGAAAGCATTTTGACAGTGCACAAAGTCACCTAGATTCCGGATTTGTCTTGCTGGTAAGTGTGAACTGAGAAAGTAATCCATGAGCTACCCCTTTTCTGTGTGTATATACAATATTTTCTTCATTGTGGTAAGTTCCATGATTTTTAAAATGCTGCTACATATAAAGTAGATAAAATATCACAAGGAGATCCTCAAAAATAGAGTAAGACAGGGATGGAGGCTAACAATATTTGCAATTACCAAAGAGCTACAAGTACACATGTCCGCTGTACAAAGAGTGAGGTAGCAGTCACCGGAGGTCATCCCCTTTGTGAGTCAGTCCTCTGCATATCTATCCGCCCTGGTGAAGAACAGGCAAAATTATGTCACATTTGCTGTAGTGCATCCTGAAAGTGGCTGTCTCTATGGGACTGTGAAAACTCTCCCACTGGCCATGAATCATACCAATGACTTGAGTGACAGTGACAGAGGCAGAGGTAGCGAGGAAGTTTTACTGGCAGGCAGAAGAGAAGGCTTTTCTTCGGATTTGTGAGGCATCTTGTTTTAGCATATCCAAGTGGGTTTCTGGCTACCTCATGCAGTAACAAACTCTCTTAATGAGGTTTCAAAGCTGTCCACAGTCACTGGGAGTTTTGTAACTAAACAGGTCACACTGTTGTGATGTGTTCCTTAATGTTCTCTATTATTTTCAGGAAAAGAGGATGTTAGTTACCTTAGGAACAGGGCACAGAAAAGTGGCACTAAATCAAACTGATTTAAAAACAAAACAAAGACTTGCTAGTGCTAGAAGCAAATTGACCTATTCAATCAGATTTGGCCACATGCTTCCTGTATGAAAGACACAGCAGCTCTCAAGGAAAAGGTCTATTCTGTCTTTCTCCATCTAGCTTCTCCAGCGTGCTCTAACATTTCATGTTCTCAAGACTCCGAAGACCTGCCTGTCTCACTGAGCCTCCTCTTTGCTTTTATCTTTGGCACCAACGACTGTTCCCAAATCTCTAAAATGATGGTGTCTAAATTTGCTTCTGTCCTTGTGATAAATGGCATGACCAAAGGCAACTTAATGGAGGAAAGAGTTTATTTGGCTTACTGGTAACTGTTCATCACTGAGGAAAGACAAGGTAGAAATTCACTACAGAGGCTTGAAGCAGAGACCACCAAGGAATATTGCTTACTAACTTGTTTCCAGGCTCACATTCAGCAACACCTTATACAATCCAGGCCCAACAGTACTGCCCACAGTGGGCTAGGACCACCTACATCAATCAGCAATTAAGAAAATGCCCCCATAGATGTGCCTACAGGACAATCTAATGGATGTGGACAATTGTCCAACTGAGAATCCCTCCTTCCTAGGTGCTCAAGCTGACAAAACTAACCAAGACAAATAATGTGGTTTTACATAAAAACGTATTTTACAAAGTATAATAATTTCAAGCAGAATAGACAAGATAAAGGCCTATACTTAGTGAGACTTGAGGCCCCCAAAATTACTTTGAAAGATGTCAGAATCTGGAGACCCTAATATTACAATTTATTGAACTATTTTTCCATTGCTATTGATTTACCCCTCCCCACACACACCCCTTGCTTTTGTCTTTAAAAAACAGTGCTGTTGAAGGTAATACACAGCCTTATGAACTCATGTTTGAAGGGACTCTAGCCAGCACAGCATGGCAAATGTGGCTCTGAAAGTCCTCGACCTTCTCTCCCACTTCCCCTCCCTTGCTAGAAACTGTAGCCCCCAAGGTCTATTCCCTTATTTGGCCACTTCCTGCTAAAGCTGACTATCTAGTCTGGAAATCAAAGTATTTAAATCCAGGAATCAAAAGCCCCCTTGTGGCTGTCCTAATTAACCTGTCCAATCAAAATTAAACACCTCATCCTTACATGGGGTTTACCATTTAACCTTTATAAACTGCATGTTTTCTATGGGCCACGTCTGTCTTCTCTCTATCCAGAGGCAGTGCTATGTCCCCCTCTGGAACAAAAACCCCCTCTCTCCTCCCCATTTCTAGTCTTTGTCTTTTGCTCCCTGCCCTTAGTGTCTCCGGGGCAAATAAATCTCCTTTTTGTGTTAGGAACTTGGTCTTGTGGTGTCTTGAGCCAATACAGGTCCCTTCAGTGCTCTTTTTATTTAGGATAGTCATAAAGGGAATGATAGTTCAACGAGTACTGAAAATTACATGTATTATAATAAACATGGCCAGATTGCCTGACAAAAGTCTTTAGATTATCAACCATCAAAGAACCATATGTGAATGAGTGTTTTCAATATATTTGCTTGTGGCTGCTCCTTTGAATTTTCAGCAATCTGGTGAGTGGGAAAATGTTTTGTTGGGACCAAAGAATGTTTGATGCGACTCCAACGATGTGACTTTAAGATTAAGGTCGCTTCTTGGAAACCTGTCTCCCCCGCCCCGCCCCACCATACTGAAATGGAGCCATAGGGACTATGCAAGAAGCCTAGCAATTTTTGTTACAGGTTTTTGGGTCGTCCGGATGGTAACAGGGTTTCCCATCTAGGAACACTCAGTTTGACCCTGGCTCCTCTCCAACACTTCCGCAGTTTACTGAGAAGAAAACCGGCCAAGGCCGCCCAATGTCACAAGCCAAATGCCCTTTGGGGGACACAGAACAACTCAGCAGAGACAGCCGCACGCTAGAGAGGACCTTGCGCATGCGTCTCCGCGGGAGAAACAAATCCCACGTGATGCATGTTAGCAACCACCACCTTCCTGCGGACTGCGCGTGCGTGACCTCGGGACCGCGCGACCCGCGTACGTCTGTAGCGGGCGCAGGGGCAGCTGGGAAGATGGCGGCCTGGGTACCTTGTCGGAGGTGGGGCTGGGCGGCTGTATCCTTCGGCCGTCACCGGGATCTGAGCGTGTCACTAGCTCGGAAGCCCCCACGGGCATGGTGGCTCTCAGGTTAGTGTAAGGAAAATGGGACACGGGGGCTCTTTCAAAGGCCCGGCGATCGTCCAGTGCCGGCCTGGAGCCCGCTTGGCGCGCCACTTAAAACTGCTCCAGGCTGTCTCGGCACTGATGCTTCTGGGGAACGCTGGGAGAGTATACTTTTCTGCTGAGGCCCGGGGCATTCTTGGAGGTCCTTGTTAGCGTTTACACTGCGATTTAAGGAGCTCCTGCGTTCTCTGACTCAAACCTCAGGACCAGAAAAGAAAGATTAAGATGTGCATTTAATGTATTTGGTTATTAGCTCCTAGAGCTTTACATATCCATATGTCAAATGTTTAGCCTTGCCTGTCGTAGACTTAAGGAAACAAAGTGTGTGTGTGTGTGTGCGTGTGTGTGTGTGTGTGTATGTGTATGTAAATGCTGTCTTTAGACCTAATACCTGGTTTCTCTTGTTGAAAGAATTGAAATTACAATGGAAACTCAAATTTGTATTAATATTATGTACACAGAATACATGATTTGTGTATATGTATAGTTATCCTTGAATAACATCCTTGGTGTGCTCTTCACGTCTTGACGCATAGCTATTACATAGCTGCATGGTGCTTGGAATAGTGATGCCACTATATTAATTAACATGTTTAATTTTTTAAACGTATTTAATCAGGTTAACTTAACAATGTACACAAAAAAAAATGTAATGCCAGACAGTATAGTATGTCAGTTCGTTAACAATCGTACATTTTTTTATCTCTGTAGCACTATTCATTTACGTAGTTTCAGCTAATCTATATTATATAAACATGATTTATAAATTGAAGGTTGAATCCGTTGTTTTATAGCTAACAAACACCAATTCACGGTAGCTGCCTGAAATGAAATTTATTTGTTCTAAACTAATGTCTGAAAGGGGATAAAAGGATAATTTGAGTGTTTAATTAAAGAAATGGGAAATGAACATTAATGTTGATAAAATCTATTGACTAGCGTAAGCTGATCCCCAGTAGCCCTGTTTTAAATCTAGTTTTAAACTTGGCACAGTTTTCCATACACTAAAACTTGGCATCTGTTTGACACAAATAAGGGATAACTTTAAACCTTTTGATTCTTTGTGTGTGTTTGGGGTGGGGGTATGGATTCTTGGTGTTTGTGAGACAAGGTTTCACTACATAGCCTCTTTCTTTCCTACAACTCATTGTACAGACAAGCTGACCTGGAAATTGTGGTTTGCCCTGCCTGTGGCTCTTGTGTGTTGTGGTTATTGGGGTGCACTGTCAGACTCTCTACTAATTTTTTTCTCAAAAATAAACTGGATAAATTAAAAATGGGAAAAAATTTTAGCAGTACACATGGGAGAGACCAAGAAGCTTTCACTAGCAACGTGAAGGTATAGTAAGACTGTTTAATTTTTTTTTTTTAATTTAAGGGCTAACAAAGATGGCTCAGCAAAGTAAGCCCTGTAAGGGTCACCATTTGTCCTGCCATATTTAAATAATTCTAAGGTATATGTGTTCCACTTACAAAAAGCCAGCCAACAGAAGTAAGCTCATCAATTACAGAGCTGTTTGAGAAGTTTATTTCCAAGAATACTTGATCCAAGCTTATTTTTAAAGGAATGGCCTTCTGAAACCCCACATGTGGAAATTATGGTGGTTTGCTACCAGTCTTTTCGAATTCCTGGGGAGGATTGCTCAGTGGTAATCTGGTCAAAACCAGCTCAGCACTTTGGACATCATTGCCTCCCTGTTAAATACTTTGAAGGCTCATTATTATTTTTACCTCTGCTTCCCAAAGCCTGGGGTTGCAGGTGCCTAAGACCTTGCCAGTTTCCCTTTGAAATAATTTTGTAAAGGCAGAGGAAAGAAAGAAACAAAACACACATACATTTCTTTTCCCCTACTTGTCTGGCCAAAGTAGAAGACAGGAAATCCCTGAAACATTGTTAAAACGGAAAGAAATCTCAGGGGAAAAGCTGAAAGTGATCTATTTAAATCTAAATGTTAATTGCTACTGTTTAGGATAATCCCATGGTGCCAACATAAAGATGTTTTTTTGATGAGTCTCTGTCTTTTGTTTCACTGAAATTGTTATTTCATTCTGTATTTTGGAAAGTATGATTGGGCCTTGCTCCTAGAAGGTAGCAGTTTTGATTCAACTTTAAAACTAAAAATCTCCTACTTGAAGCTTCTTTTGATTTTTCTTATCAAATGCAGTGGGTTAAAGTTAAAAATGTAAAAATATGTGTGATTTTGAAAAATAATTTTCAAAGTATAATTCACGATTTGTGTACTTTGTTTAGCTTGCAGACAAAAGACATCACTTTCTTTCCTTAACCGAGAAGATCTTCCAAACCTGGCTTATAAGAGGTTAAAAGGCAAAAACCCAGGAATTATCTTCATCCCTGGCTATCTTTCTAACATGAATGGTAATAAGGCAGTAGCAGTTGAGGAGTTTTGCAAATCTCTAGGTCACGCCTTTATAAGGTAGGAACAATTATCACTTAGTATTGCAATAGAGCCAACTGAAGTAAATGCCAACATTTTAGTAGATGGAGTTATTTTAATAGTGTGCAGACTCTGGTCTTATGAAGCGTATTGGTGCTGTGCCGGCTAGATTGGCAGCAGAGGGTGTCATCAGGGAGCTAGTAACTTAGTTCTTTAGATACAATAATGTCTGTGGCAAAAGAAATATACATGTTGGGTTTCTTGTAATCTCTTGTGATTATGGGTTTTCCACTGAAGACATACAGGACTTTCTTGATCACTGTTTATTACTTTCTAACACAGGTGTTGGAAGCTGAGAGTAAAGTATAGTATACCTCAGGGGTAAAGCATATGTTTAGCACAAGATCCCCAATTCAATTCCTAGCACAAGCCACAAAAGAAAATATGTTTCAATGTTATATAATATTGTAAGATTGATATTGTATAATTTACATTTCTGTTTTCTTTGTCCTTTTCTTATGTTATCTGACTGTGTGTGAATATAAACAAGGATGGGTAGTATTTAGCTAAATCTTAATTTTATATTGTTCTTTTTCATTCATTTTAATAAAATGTATTGATATAACAAAAATTATTAGGTATATCAATACATTTTTTGATATTTTAATTTTAAGATAGCTTAATGGGGAAAGCATTGGTGTAAAATTGAATAAATAGGATTGAAAGAAGACTTCATTAAGTAACTTATGAAGACGTCAGTAATACACAGTAGACACCAGTTTTTCATCCAGTAAAAGAAGGCTGAGCCAGTTCTTCTCTAGTGCTAACAGCCTGAAAATCTGTTCAACTACATGTGAAGAATAGTTTCACTAATGTTCATTCAGTAGTTCTAGAAAATATAGCTACATATAAAACTTGTAGGCATTGTCTGTTTAAAGCATTTGCAGAAATTTTGTCACTAAGGTGGATTTAGTCTAATTCCTTTTATCAGAATAGTAAAATTACTTTATTTTCATTCTCAGTATTTCAAAACCTCTTAACTCGCTTTGAAGACTGGAGCTGATCATATGTTAAAGAATTGTGAACAGTGCTTGCCCTTAAGCAAGGGGTGAGAGCACATGTAGGGTATTAGGCAGAGCCACCCATCAGAATGGGATTCAAAAGAAAAGAAATTAAGGTGAGAGTCTGAGGAGGGAAGTGGATGGACAAGACTTTACAAATGAACTCTGGGAAAAATAAATGGCAGTGCTATCTGTGGAGAGAAACTATTCATAATCTGATTCATATCTGAGGAGAACATTCATAATTGGAAATATTGCTGTCATTGCTTTTCTTTGTCTGAAAAATAATTTTAATAAAGAAATCAGAATCTTATGGCTGGGGAGACCACCCAGTGAGTGAAGCACTCTCTGTGTAAGCTTGAGTGCGGATCAGAGTTCAGATCTCTGAACCCAACCCTGTAAAAGCCCAGTGGATGTAGCTGCCCACCTGTAATCTTAGCATTTGGGAAGCAGAGAAAGGGAATTTCCTAACTAAGCTGTTTATTCCACTAACTGCAACAGTAAGCCTCAGGCTCAGTAGAAGACTCTACCTCAGTGTATGAGGTAGAGAGTGATCAAGGAAGATACTGGATGTCAGGCTCTGGCCCCTACAACCGTGTGTACATGTACCTATGTACAACATACATGCATGCACCCCTCACACATGGGAATACATCCACACATATGCCACAACCAACATAAAAATAGAACTCACCATTTTACTGATTTTTGAATTTCAGTTGAGACTGAGAGCTATAGCCAGCCAGTTCCAGGCATAATGTGTTTTCTGCATATTGGATGCTATATCAATTTACATTTATAAACAATTGCTCTTTCGCTACAGATTCTTTAATTAAGCTCTTTTGTGTCGCATTGTAATAGTGGTGAGTGTAACAACCTTCCAATTCATTGGGTGTGTATATGATCATATGATATGTGAGCATGACCATGCGTGTGTACATGTGTGGAAGTCAGCAGACAATCTTAGTTGTTAATTTTCAGGGGCCATTCACCTTGTTTTCAAAGACAGGGTTTCTCTCACTAGTTTGAAGCTTATCAAGTAGTTAGGCTAGCTGACCAAAGAGCCCCTGATCTACATATCTCTACTTTTCCAGCACAGGAATTACATGAGGAAAGTTCATGAAATGAAGAACTGTGACTTAAAGAATGACTAGGGACTAGTTTGATAGGAAGGAAGACTTTATCAGCAGTGAGATAGTGTGCAAAGCTCATAGTTACAAAGGCCAGGAATTGGGAATAGTTCAGAATGACTTGTCATTTATAATCTGTGGCCATGATAGGATACCTCATAACTTATTGAATCGGGACCTTGAAGGAAAGGTAAAATTCAGAGATTAGACAGATGTTGAGCTTGAATCCCTAGGACAATTTAGAAGGAGGAGTTTATGGTGAGTCTAGTTCTGATCCTGAGGAGCAGTAAGTGCTGTGAAGAAAATACAAGAGGTAGGAGTGCAGAGCTGTGACAAAGCACAGTGGTAGTGTGGGGTGCTCAGAGCCAGCTTCGAATGACATACAGGGCTTGAGCCAATGGACAGCAGGAGCCGAGGCATATCTAATGGATATGACAATATACTTGTGAGGAAGAGCTCACTAAGAGATGAGGTCAGGAAAGCATGGCAGAGCTTTGAGTTATTAACTACACAGAGCATGCATGATAAAGTGTTTCATTTGGAAGGACCATTCTGACTACTAAGGAGTAGGCGAGGAGGATGAAAAATGGAAATGAGAAGAAACTTAGAATACTACTGCATTGGTCGAGTTGAGACATAACTTGGACTCAGCTAAGCAGCAGTGAAGCTGTAAGAAAGTGACTGACGTGAGAGGTACTTGGAAGTTGAGTCAGTAGGACTTACGAAAGTACCATGTTGACTGATGTTTACTGTAGGTAGATCATAGCAGTAATGAAAATGCTCTACTTTGCTCTAAAGTCAAATAAGCAAGTCTGGACATGGTTCAGACACTTAGGTATAAAGATATATTTTTTCTTCTTCCAGGTTTGACTACTCAGGGGTTGGAAGTTCAGATGGTAACTTAGCAGAATCGACAGTGGGGAAATGGAGAAAGGATGTACTTTCCATACTTGATGACATAGCTGAAGGACCACAGGTAACCGTTTTTGTTAAATAGACTGATCTTTGACTCAAGCAATATTTGTTTTGTTTTGTTTTGTTTTTAGGTATGGCAATTGATAATATGAATTTCAATAATTTTTATTTTGATGAACAAGTTTGATTTAAAATTATCATATTTTTACTTTCTAGTAAGCAATAATCACTTTAGTTCTTATTGAAAAATAAGTTTGCTTTTATAGTTCTGTATTATAGACATATTGGCTTTATAAAAATTAATTATATTGGGATACAGGGGCCAGACGCTCTCTGAGTTCAAGATGAGCCTAGTCTACAAAAAGTATTCCAGGACAACACAGTAGAAACCTGACTCAAAAACAAACAAACAAGTTAATTATAATTAAATTTTACTTTGTGTTAGAAAAGTCTAGGATCTACAAGAATATAAAAGATACAAAGTCCATATATTTCTATTAAACCATTCTCTTTATAGTGTATGAGAGTCCTCTTTGAAGCCATGCATACTTGTTTTTAGATATTGGTTGGATCTAGCCTTGGTGGATGGCTCATGCTGCATGCTGCAATTGCACGGCCAGAAAAGGTCATAGCTCTTATTGGTATAGCTACTGCTGCAGATGGCGTGGTGACACAGTTTCATGCACTTCCTGTTGAGGTAAGTCATAAACCATTTGGCAGCCCCAGGGAGTATGTCCTCTCTTCTGCCTTTTCTCTCTCTGTACTTCTGCACAGTCTTCCTCTAACTTATTGCAGTGACCTGGTTTTTGTTTTTGCTGCCCTTTTGCTTGGTCTCTTGTTTTAAAGTTTCCTTTTCTCATGCCTCTTTCTAAACATCCTGCCAAATCCATGAGACATGGCGCCGAAGTAATGCTTCCAAATGTCTTTTTTTGCTCAGTTTTCTTTGTTTCATTTACCTAATGGGATTCCATATCACAGTCTACTTTTTACCCTCTTACTCTCAGTTGTGCTGTGTGAGTAGTTCCTGTTCTTACATCATGTGAGACTGGGGTACACAGATGTAAAACTACCTTGTTTAGCCCCAAAACAGACTTATGTTCTCTGGGCAGCAGTTATCAGCTAATTAGAGGTAACATACCAGAGCTAGAGGGTTTTTATGTTTTTGTTTTGTTTTCTGGCTCTGTTGCTTTGTTAGCATTCTTTTCTAATAATTTCTGTGCTGCATCAAAAGAAAAGCAGGGCTTTCTTTAATGTTCTTCAATGATTCATGGTAAAAAGGAAGGGTCTGAAACAACTGGGAAGATAGCTATTTTCTTAAGCTCCAATTGGATAAACGTTCTAGTTAGGGCTTCTGTTTCTGTGATGAAACACTAGGACCAAAGTTGGTGAGGCAAAGGCTTTGTTTGGCTTGCATTCCCCGTCATAGTCAATCACTGAAGGAAGTCAAGGCAGGAACTCAAACTGGGCAGGAACCTGCAGAAGCCATGGAAGGGTGTTGCTTATTGGCTTGCTCTTCATGGCTTGCTCAGCCTGCATTCTTATAGAACCCAGGACCACCAGCCCAGGGATGACACCACCCACAAGGGTCTGGGCCCTCCTCCATCAGTCACTAATTAAGAAAATGCTGTCCAGACTTTCTACAGCCCTGTCTTCTGGAAGCATTTTCTTAATTGAAGTTCCCTTCTCTCACCTGACTTTAGATCGTGTCAAGTTGACATAAAACTATCCAACACAGACAATTATGTGAAAGGACAATGGAATGAGCAACATCTGGTTTTTTGCGCATTGTTGTTTTATTTCATTTGTGTTCTCCTGTCCTGTGGAACTAATTTCTGGTAAACCAGAGACAACAGAAATTAAAAGGGACAAACATTGTTTCAAAACGGGCTCCAGACCTGCTATCAACCTTGAATTTCATTCTGAATCAGAAGTAGGAGATATGCTCAAGTTCCTCCAGCACAGTAGAGTCTGAGAACCAGATTTGCAGAACACTGGAAGAAAGGGGCAGTGGGGAGGGGCTTGATGGGACACAATAAAAGTTAGTGTATAACTTTGAATAATAGAATGTTACTGATTTCTGCTTCAGGTTCTTTAAGATTTGTGCTGTGGAACATCTGAGTTTGTTCTTAGTTCATGTTGTTCTCAGTTTCTAAAGAAACAATTGCATTGCTGGAGATGAGGGGATAGATCAGTTGTTAAAATACTAGGCTTACAAGCAGGAGAATCTGAGCTAATCCCAGCCCCATGCTGTTTTGTTTGTTTTGTTTTGTTGTTTAAATCTGATAGGCTGGGAAATGGCAGAAGAGAGAAAACACTTGCCCCTGGCCCACAACCTGAGTTCTAGTCCTGGGACTGACATGATAGAAAACCATCTCATGTGGGCAGTCCTCTGACACCCACACAAGCACTGTGGCACACACATGCTCCTCACCTTTCCCCACAAACATAAGTGTAATAGTGAAAGTGATGGTGATGATGATAATAATAGCAATAATAATAAACATTTAGCGCTAGGTATAGTGGTGTGCCCTTGTAATCTCAATACTGATAAGGCAGACAAGTAGATCCTTGGAGCTTCATGTCCAGCCACCATAGCAGACTGGTAAATTCTAGACTAATGCAAGATCCAGCCTCAAAATAACAGGGTGTAGACAGGTAAAATGGCTGAGATATAAAAGTTCTTACTGACAAGCCCGATAGCCTGAATTTGATCCCCAGAACCCATATGGTAGAGTGAGAGAGCCAACTCCTGACTACTGCACATATACTGTGGCATGCACACACATAATAAATGTTTAAAATACTTACAAAAACCAAGATAGATGGAGGGCTGGAAAAATGGCTCAGCAGTCAAGTTTGTTCTGCTCTTGTTGAGGATTAGAGTTAAGATGCCAGCTCCCAAGTAACAAGCCAGGTGTTCCCTCAGACATCTGCAGGCCTAGCTCTAAAGGGGAGGGACAATCACAAAGGCTCAATGGCTTCTAGTCTAGCTGAGGGAATAGCATCAAGTTCAGAGGTGAAACTTTGCTACCAAAGGACTAAGTGAAGAATGGTAGAGGAAGACCCCTGACCCCTTCCTCTGACCTCTGTGCATAACTGGTGCAGCCTCTCTCCCCAGATAACCGTGCATACAGTCATATAGACACATAAGCAACATACACAACTTTTGCTTCATTTTTGGAAAAGCAAATCAACAGTGGAGCATGTTCCTGAGGAATGTCCCCTGAGGTTGCTGTGTACAGTGATACACACAAATTCACCTATGAGAGTCCTCATAGTTTTTCCTGTCAGAGTTAAAATTACAAAGTTGGTCTTCCCTGTACTCATCTTTGATGTCTAGATTTTTTTCTCACTTTTTTTTCCTCAAATATACTTCCTTGGTGTTTGTGTTTTTTTTCTATTATTTCTTTGTGAATTTGAAACTTTGACCCTTTGCTTAATCCCCTTGGCTCACCAATACAATCCTTTTCATAATGGGAAATTTTCTCAGAAATATTACAGCTTGAAAAGGAGTTCCTATGTCTTGTTGTTGTTGTCGTCGTAGTAGTAAATTTGAAGATCTGTGCACATTTCATTTTGCATATGTGTAAACAGATTGCTCGGCATGTGGATAAAGTGGGCATTGAAAATCAAATACAAAGTTTCTTAGGTAGGGTTTATATTGCAGTGATGAAACTCTATGACCAAGAGCTATTTAGGGAGGAAAGAGTTTATTTCATTTTATAACGTTCAGTTCACACTCTTACTGAGGGGGAAGTCAGAATAGGATCTCAAGGCAAGAACCTGCAGGCAAGAACTGGAGCAAAAGTCATGGAGAAATGCTGCTTACTGACTTGCTCGTGGTTTGTTCCTCCTACTTTCTTACACAATTCAGCAGCACCTGCACCATCTACAGTATGGAGGGCCCCCTGCTTTAGTCATTAATTAAGATATAGCTCCACTAACTTGCCTGCAAGTCCAGTAGTAGGAAGGCATTTTCTCAGTTGAGTGTCCTTTGCAAATGATTCTAGCTTGTATCAAGTTGACATAAAACTGAACAGCATCAGAGGAAAGCACAAGGACACTAGGTATTGCCTCCCCATTAATCACTGGCCCTCAGGTATGAAGAGTGGCCCAGAGAGGGTGTCAGATCCCTTGGAGCTCAAGTTATAGGAGACCATGAGGTGTCCCTTGTGGGTTCTGGGAACCTAACTAGGCCCTGTGCAAGAGGTGGAATCACTTTTAACTGATAGCCATCCCTCCAGCCAGAAAAGTCCAAATTTTAATAAGAAAAATTATTGAAGGTATTTGTTACAATCTGAAAAATAATCCTCAAAGGTTGTGTTAATGTTTCTTTTCACCAGAATCTAGAATTGATATTACTGTTTAGTTCTCAGGAGGCATTTCTAAGTCTTCTTTGTTACCCAAACCAATAAATTCTCATTCCTAGAATGCTGAAAAGGAAAAGCTATGCACTTTTTTTTTTATGTATATGAGCACCCTGTAACTGTCATCAGACACACCAGAAGAGGGCATCAGATCCCATTACAGATGGTTATGAACCACCATGTAGTTGCTGGGAATTGAACTCAGGGCTTTTGGTAGAGCAGTCAGTGCTCTTAACCACTGAATCATCTCTCCAGCTCTCAGCTATCCACTTTTTAAAACTTTCTTTTGCTTGGTGGTGGTACACTCCTTTAATCCCAGCTCTTGGGAGACAAAGGTAGGTGGATCTCTCTGAGTTTGAAGTCAGCCTGATCTATAAATGAGTTCCAGGATAGCCAGGGCTACACAGACAGACCCTGTCTTGAAAAACCACCATCACTACCACCAATAATAATAGTGATAATGATAATAATGAACAATAATTATATACTTTCAATCAAAAATTACCTAGGTATATGGGTAATTTTTTGAATTTTTAAAAATAAATTATTCTAAAATTTGGTTTATATGAACATCAATGTCTTGGGACCAATTCCCAGAAATTGTTGTACTTTTCTTCCCTTCTGTTTTTACTTTCAGTTGGGGTTAAGCAGTACTTGGCGTAAGAACTTGTATGATAGGGAGATTTGAGTTTGCTTGATAGCTAAAACGTTTTCTTTGCTTGGCCTTTGAATATGATATTTAACTGCAATACTCTCCTTAATACTCTCCTTTGTACAAGTAGAATAATTATGGAATTATTACCAGAGTTGTATGAAATAATATATATAATGTACCTTACATTTAAGTAATTAATTTTTTTTCTTTTCATGGGGTTTCCCTATGAAGTTCTGTGTGGCCTAGAACTTGAACTGGCTCTGTAGACCAAGCTATCGTAAAACTGATAGATGGGCCTTCCCGCCTCAGGCACTGGCATTAAAGGTGTGCACCCTGCCGGATCTGATGTGGGATGATCATTGTTGCTGTACTTGTGTTGCCTGTCTTCTTACAGGAGGACTGCCTTCCTCTACTCTTCAAGTCTGCTAAAGGGTTGTTGATATTCATATATTTATTTTTCCCACTAGGTGCAAAAGGAAATAGAAATGAAAGGTGAGTGGTCTTTGCCATCTAAATACAACAAAGAAGGCTATTACAGGATTCCATACAGTTTCATTAAAGAAGCGGCGCATCACTGCTTGTTACACAGCCCTATTCCTGTGACCTGCCCTGTACGGTTGCTCCATGGCATGAAGGACGAAATAGTTCCTTGGCATAGATCCCTGGAGGTCGCAGACCGATTAGTCAGCCCAGATGTCGATGTCATCCTCCGGAAACACAGTGATCACAGGATGAAGGAAAAAGCAGATATTCAGCTGCTTATTTGTACTATTGATGACTTGATTGACAAGCTTTCAACTATAGTTCCCTAGAATCACATTTGTGGTTGTTATGCACTCTAATGCGTCCAGAAGATTGAAAGTATGATAGTAAATCAAAGACCCAGATACTTCAGGGTTTCCCTCTTCTAGTTTGTAAATATCAGATACGTATTTATTTAATGATGTCTTTGCACAAATACACAAATTGTGACAAAAATATTAGCTGCTGTTTGGAAATTTTTGTTGTCCTTTTGTTTCCCATTAAAATAGTACCTATTTTTTTATTACAGAGATGTCTACATTTCTTACATACACTTTAGCTGTGCCAGCTCTTAATTGTGTTCCTTTCTTTTACAATAAAGCTTGGACATTTTGGGTTTTGTCTGGTACCATTATATATGGAAATTTGTAAAATTCTGATTTTAAAATGTAGTTCACAAAATTGCGGAAGATATGTATTCAAGTGAATATGAAATGATTCTAAAAATGTCTGAAGCATAATAAATTTGGAAAAAAGAGGGTGCCATGGTATATTTAAAACTAAAATTACTGTTTGTTTTTTTTTTTAAGTTTAAGTTTTATTGTGATGTAAATGATACTTCTAAATTTTGAATTGTCATTCTTAGGGAGTCTTCCAGATTTTTAATCATTTAAAGTTTATGTGTATAATAATAGGTAATATAATTTCCAACACTTCGTTCATTTTATCATTGTACCTCACTTACATATACCCTGTTGCTCTGCTGTCTTTCAGTCTCTTTGCTTGCCTACACACCCTTTCTCCCCTCAGTCCTCTGCTGCTTCCACGTCATGTCTGTATGAGAGAAAACACAGATGTTGTTCCCTCCCCCACCATTACCCCTTCATGCTCCCCCAACGTCGTTTAGAGCCTTCTCCGCACAGTCTACTTTCTCCAGCCATGCTGTATGTGTGTATTTAAATCTGTGCTCTACATATGAGAGAAAACACTTTCCATATCTAATCTGTTTCTCTTTACACAATCTCAGTTCCACTATTTTCCTGCAGACATGCCCTTATAGTTAAATGGTATTCGTCTAATAATGTAGCATTTTTATATAATGATTGGTTAGACTGAAGGAACGATCTTTCTGTATTAATTCTGCTTTGGGGAATACGATTAGACTGGCTTAAGTGCAGATAGTTGGATGATCACTACTTTTGTTGGAGTGGCAAAAGAGAGTCAATAAGGAAACATGAAATAATAGTAAAAAGCATGGTTTTTAATAACTACTGAGGTATTAATATTTATTAGCCTTTATTGTGGTTTGGTTTTTGGTTACTAATTTTGGCTAGACTTTAGCCTTCATGGTTTATATCTGTCTATGTTAAGGTGATAACATAACTCATAAAATGAGTATTATTGAAGATTTAATTTATCTCAAATGAGAGAGTCAGCAGACAATAAACCTGGTTAAAAGGACAGTTTAAGAAACATAGTATTTATAGCCAATGAAGAAAAAGATGATAAAATTTCTGTGCAGAAAAGTGTTGCAGCCGGTTGGCAGATTATCTTGAGAAACATACCTTATAAGTTGGCTTTTGTCTGTCTGGGAACTTGGATTTTGGGGACTCTCACTATGGCCAGAACTGAGCATAAGTAGCTCACTGTGCTTACATCAACTCTATGCAAACACTAGTTTATGCTGAAACCCCGATTGCTTCCGGGTGCCCAGAATGTTGATATGTGTGGAGCAGAGACTACGTCTCAGTAGTCCAGTAAAACCCCTTGGCAACAACTCTTAACAAGCTTCCTTGTGGGCGGCATCAGTCACATGAGCTGTTGGATCTCTTTGCTGGAGACCCAGTTTTGCCCTGTGTGACTCCAATGTGGATTTTTGGAAGCTTACCCCCAGTTTCCCTGGGCCTTTTTCCTTGCTCACTCTGTTTTGGATCCATTCACTCTAATAAATCAGTAGTGAAAGAACTATATGGTGAGTCCTGTGCATTCTCACAAGCCTGCACACCTGAGGTGGTCTCCGTGGCCTCTGATGTGCTACAATTAAACTAATCCATGACTACCCCTTATCCCAGAGAAAATCTGGAAAAAAGAATCTTGTTGGCCTTGTTACTCTGAGCTACAATGGGACCAGTTGGGGACCCCTTTGGCTAGATATTGCTAAACATGTGTACTATTGGAAAATGAAGAGGACAAAGTCCCCGCCCATTAGAGTTTTCTGGGGTTCAAGTGTCTTGCTATGTTGCATTGACAATGCTGACTCTCCCACACCATTACACTTTAACCCCAGAAAACTCTAATTTGGCAGGAATTGGAGCTCGGGGCTATATCCGATAAGGTTAGAGTCCCATAGCATGTGTTGATGCAGTGTACAAGTTTAAAGTACAAAGTGGAGTTTAGGAACATCCCAGCACATGTGCTAAATCTGCAGCCGCAGTTTTGCCCTTTGTGCCTTATTTCCAATCCTCAAAATGGTACAACCTTACATAATAAATACAACTGGTAAAGCACAACACATTTAGAGTAGTGATGTGTGGGAGGTGTTAGCTTCCTGATTTTTGTCTAATGCATGGAACATAGTCCAGTGAGGAACTGAGGGTCGACAACCCATAATGATATAGGAAGGAAAAACGAAGCAAGGAAGTGGTGAGGCTTATAAAACCAAAGATCTCAAATTGGACTGGTATTTTTTTCATGTTTATACAGATGTTCAGCACCTCCACCTCCTGCTGCCTCTCCCCCCCCTCAGGTTTTTTTGTTGGTTTGTTTGTGTTAACAAAAGGAAAGCCTTATTTATTTTGGCAGGAGTTAACATCGCAGACTTCAAATGAGGTTAAATTGATATTTTCACCATCAAGTGAAACTTCCAGTTACATCTAATTGAACTTTTGGCCAAAGGGGCCTCATGGAAACCCTTCAACAACTCAGGCTGTTTATTGCCAAGGCTCTACCACAAACCCATGGTCGAGTCCGATTGCTCAAGATGATGCTTACATATCTCATTGAACACAAAGAGGTTGTGCTGGTGTCTAAAGCTCTCACCCCTAATTGTACTGAAGGAGTCAAAGTATTCTTCACGCTACCATACAAGAAAGATAACCACCAACCCTGCTACAAACACAACCACAACCCTGCTGTGATTCACATGAACTGCCTGCATAATACACTGGATAATAGTGTCACAAATGAGGGAGTAGCCAATCACTATTTGATTAGCTGAAAGGCTCTCTCTAAGAGATGGAACCCGTACCTAATACAGTTCGGTGGCCAAGAACCTGAGACTAGATAGGCCATAGGCCTATGGGAAAACCAAACTATTGTTCTGCTAAAGGAACAGCAATAAAGCGACTCCTAAGGACATTCTACTATTCCCATTGATAAGTGCTCAGTCATCATTAGATAGGGACTAACACAGAGACCCACAACTGGGCAATGTACAGAGAGAGATTTTGAGACAGCTAGTCCTAAATGAGTGTCTTAATCAAATCCTTCCCTTCTGGGTACTATTAGGAGAGGAGGTAGAAAGATTGTAACAGCAAGAAGCGATAGATGACACCAAGGAAACAGTGTCTTTAGACAAAATAGAATCGACTTGTATAAGAACTCACAGAGACAGTGGTAGCATGCACGTGGCCTGCACAGGTTCAAGCCACACAGGCTCTCAGCACTGAGAGGGTTGCAGTGGGAGTGGACAGGAGTTCTCATCCCTAACCAAGAAGCTGTCTCCAACTGACAAAGGAAAATTTAGTTTTCTCCAATGGAATCTCACTGGGTGTATAAACCACACTTAGATCTAGGCCCCATTCCCAGTGTAGATGGCCAACACAAAACTCACTGACTTAGTGATATTTTTGTAGATTTTTTTTTGTTGTTTCCTATTGCATTGGATTTTTTTTTATTGTACCGGTGTTTTGATTATATACTATGGTTTCCAGTTTTGTGTTGTTAGAGTATGCAAGTCCCTAAGCAGCCAATAAGAAAAATCTAAAGGAGAAAGAGCTCTGAGCAGGGCTGAGTTTTATAAGGCATGGTAATATAGCCAAAAGAGCTTCCATTCCCAGGACAGTTGCTAAAATGAGTATGCCAAATGGTCACTGGATTAGGAACAGCCGGAAAAGTGTGTAGTGCTCACCTTTAATCCCAGCACTTGGGAGGCAGAAGCAGGTGGATCTCTGAGTTTAAGGCCAACCTAATCTACAGAGTGAGTAAGTTCTAAGATAATCAGGGCTATATAGAGAAACCCTGACTCAAAACAAAAGAAAAAAAAAAGAGCAAAAACTCACTATCTAGAAGAAAAAAGAGCAATTGACTGTTAAATACAGCCATTGCTTGCTATTTCAGAGTTAGTTCCAGCACCCACTGAGGCTATCAAAGTTAACAAAATGCTGAAGTTCCTCATGGAGGGTAGAGCAGGATTTGTTTAGAGCCCACGCACAGCATCTAGAACACTTCATTATTTCTGGAGTACTTAGACTAATACAATGCAAAGACAAATATAAATATTTCTTGTGCTGTATTTCTTAGGGGACAATAACAGAAAATTATATTTTGAAGATATAATACCTCTCTCATATTTATTTATTTATTTATTTATTTATTTATTTATTTATTTCCAGAATGGCCTCGAACTTAGGGCACTGCCTCAACCTTCTAATCTTGGAATTACACACATGCACTGCACTGCTATGCCAGGTCCAGACAAGGGTTTCTTGTTTTACTTTTTGGTTTTGTTTTTGGGTTGGTTTTAGATTGGATTTGGGTTTTTTGTCTTGCTTTTTATTTTTGTTTTGATTTATATATATTTGGATCTTCAATGTGGAATCTTTGTATATGGAGGGCCATCTATCTGTTTTGAAGATCTGGTTGGTTTTTTTTTTTAATTTTATGTTTATGTGTGTGCATCTTCATGAATTCATGTGCCCATATGCATATAAGTACCAGAGGAGGCCAGAAAATGGTTTTGAATCCCCAGGAACTAAAGTTACTTGAATTATGACAAAAATAGAATATAGAGACTATATCTAGAAAAATGCAGGCAAATTTTTAAATATATATTTTAGGGACATGTTACTTCCCATTTTACCTTATTTATACTGGTATTTTCTGGGAGTTACTGAGAGTTTAGCTTTCTTCAACCAATTAATGAAGCTCACTGGGTCTTCATTCATAGCCTACAGCAACACAGGGGCTGAAGCCCGTGAGTTTCTCTTTGAAGCCCTTGACTCAGCCCATCCCTCTTACTCCAGGATGTTGGTTCCTGTGTTCTCTGCCATGACAGCACTTTGCCTGCGGATTATTCATAGAATTTACTGCCTTGAAATCCTCTGCTGATACTCCAGTCTCTTTCTTTCAAGCACTTTTGAGTTTGGACTTAATTTCTTAGGCATCATTTATTTATCCTCAGACAGCCCTGACAAGGTGCCTGAATTCCTCTGGGCCTCCTCCCTCCTTGCCCGGCTTGTAATATTAATTTTCCTTTAGTTCTGGCCTTGGGAGTCTTTTTATGTTACTTCCTTGAGTAACATCACCCAAGTTTATGGTTTTAACGCCTGCCTACCAAGCTGATGACTCAAGCACATTTCTACCAATTAGATGGTTCTCTTGAGGGCTAGACTTATAAAACAAACGCCCAGTGATCTCAGACAGACCATGAGCCTCTCAAAGTAGCAGGACCAACTTTTATTATCCTATCCTTTGTATACTATCCTTTGTATACTTTGTATACCTTTGAGTCCTTCTCCAGTAAATAGCACCACTATTAATTCAGCTACATCAGCCAGATGAATGAGTCTCTTACCTTTTATCCAACGACGATATGGTGGTTTTCTATCTCCTGAAAATTCTCTTGCATGGGCAAATCAATGTGAGGCTGGGAAGTGCTTAACAACTGACTTTTTACTGTTGGCACTTGCCACTATCCTTGGGATATGTATTCTCATCAGGACCAATTTCAAACTGCCTCTGTGGCATCTCTGGGAGCAATGTGGAGAAGACATGTCCAGGACTACACAAGTATACAGTGTTTATCTTCTGTAGAGACATGAATACAAATATCCTCAGGAATATAGATTAATGGGAAATGTAACAAAATAAAGAGCACTTCATTTTGGATATATCATCTTTGTAATGCAATTTACTTACGCAATCTGATAACTAAAGATGACAGAATTTACAAACGGACCCTTAAAATTACTGAGAAATCTAACCCTTGCAAGCACAGTGCTTTATTACCTGGAGCCAGCCTGACTTTCCAACCTCACTTTTCCTACTGATTCTAAGACTTTCTCACCTTTTAAAAAATACTAATTTTAAGTATTTATTGTATGTGCATGAGCGTTTTGCTTGCATGTATATCTGTACACTGAATGCAATCTACCAACACTTTTAGGGTACTGACGGACTTCCGTTTAGTTAGAAAATTTGTTCTATATGTTTTAGTTTGAGATAACATTTAAAAGATTTAATCCGTGAATAGAGCCAAACCAAGCCACAGATGTTTTCTAAGGGTTGGAAGTTTCTGGATGAAACTGGATTGACAGTTTAATAGTTGCAGCTTCCAGTGCCCACCCCACCCCCATCCCATCCTGTCCTGTAACAACTGTCACTTCGGTGCAAGGTTAAAGTGGTTTGGCTATTCCTGGCAGATGGGCACTTAGCAGAATGGACCCTCCCAGAGGCCCAAGTCCCCTCTGGCAGCTGTGTGGGGCCTCAGATACAATGCTGGGTTCCCCGGAAGAGAAGAAAGGATTGTGCGGCAGAGAAAGAAGCTCCCAGCGGGAGGCAGGCAGTCTGGCCTGACTAGGAGAGGGCTAGTTTTTGAGGGCTCTTAGCAACAGCCCTGGTTTGACCCTCCTCAGCCGTGAGAAAATCAAATCAGGGCGCCTTGCTTCCGGGCTCCTTGCACCATCAGCGGCCAATGTTGAGACATCCTTTCTCCCGCCCGTTAATTACCTGCTCTGGGAATCTCTAGCAAAGTGCTGCTGAGAGCGGGAGCAAGCAACCATCGCCCACCCCACACCGCCTATCTGAGGGTTTAGGCTCACGAGTGAGTCCATGTACATCATCCGGTCTCCCTGACAGGCAGGACTGAGAGGGGGGGTTCCAAACCCCCAAGGAGCTGGCCGGGGCTTTATTCTAGAGTCTATGGCGCGTGGCTGCGCTTTTCTTTCCCGTTTGTAGGTGAAACCCCATTGGCTTCATTGGCTCGTTGATTTAAACCACGCCCGGCTTTCTGCCCGCTTTGCTGCTGCTGGGTTCGGCCTCCCAGCCACATCCCAGCCGGGTTCTCAGGAAACCCGGGGGCTCCTGTGGCTGCTTTTGTGTGGATGCCGCGCGTGTCCTCTCTTCTCTTCCAGAGATGGCTAACAGGGGTCCGAGCTATGGCTTAAGCCGAGAGGTGCAGGAGAAGATTGAGCAGAAGTATGACGCGGACCTGGAGAACAAGCTGGTGGACTGGATCATCCTGCAGTGTGCTGAGGATATAGAACACCCGCCCCCGGGCAGGGCCCATTTTCAGAAATGGTTGATGGACGGGACGGTAAGGCGGGCAGGGATATTGGTTGTTGGGGCGCTGGGCAGGGAAACCCTCCTAGGGCCCTTTATTTCCATGTGAGGCCCCGGGAGATCCTCTGTTGCCAAGGTCTGGGTCTCACTGGGAGAGATGAGCGTGCCTTTATTTCTCCAGGGCTGGCTCTAATTCTGAGGGCTCTCTGCACAATTCCCTAGCTAGTTTAGAGGATTCTCCACCCATCTGAGCATCAAGCTTCCTTCTAAGCTGTAAGCAAAATTGGAGCCCTTTTGATATTTCCATTCAGAGTAGAGCTGTGTGATCTCCTCAGCCTTCTTGGGCTGTTCTTATCCCCAAGGGAACCAGCTGGTTACACGGTGAAACAAAGGAAGGGGGTCAGGCTAGCCAACTTGTCATCCTCCAGGGAAGCTGTATCCCTTGGAGATGCTCAGGATCTCTTGAGCAGATGAGTTCCCCTGAACGCGAAGGGGATCCTTATGTGATAAGTGCCATTCTGCCCAGATACTGTGTGTTTGGGTTCCAGGAGGACAGCTCCGCTGAGTCAAAGAAGCCCATCTTCTCTGGCAAGCTGTGATTTACTGTTACATAACAGCTATCCCACCAATTTGTTGGGTATCCTAGAGCTTCGCTTCTAAGCGTCTGTGAGAAGACCCAGTTCAGTTCTTTGACACATCACAAACTTACATAGGATGAGTTAGTGAAGACAGCAGATCCCAGAGCAGATCAGAATCCTTCCGTTTCCCCATGAGCCTCCAACGCATCCTCCATTAAGAATCTGAGAACATGTCCTCATCATCCAGCATCATTTTCAAGGAGGGAACTGGGTTCTGGCTGCAAGACTGTAGTCAGCTACTGTCTGTGAGTGGGCTCCCTGGGGTCCTCTGTGGTGTGTGTGTGTGTGTGTGTGTGTGTGTGTGTGTGTAGATGCACAAGGGAAACACTAATCCTCTGTCCCCACACTCCCTTTAGGTCCTGTGCAAGCTGATAAACAGTTTATATCCACCAGGACAAGAACCCATCCCCAAGATCTCAGAGTCAAAGATGGCTTTTAAGCAGATGGAGCAAATCTCCCAGTTCCTGAAAGCTGCCGAGGTCTATGGTGTCAGGACCACTGACATTTTTCAAACAGTGGATCTATGGGAAGGTAAACTGTCCTTCTGTCTTTAGGTCTGTTTCCCCTGGACTCCCATTCCAGTGCCTCCTCTTTTCTCTGTCCTCTATTTGTAAAAGCCACTTACATAGGGTTTCCCTATGCTGCTTGGGGGAGGGGAAGTGTGTTCTCAGCTGTCATCCCAGGGACAGTGTTGGCCTTTTTCCTGTTTGTGATGCTTTATGGGTAGGGGTCCTGTCATACAGAAGGACACATATTGAGGATATGGCAAGAACCTAAGTGTGTGAGTGGAAGTGTCCACAGAGAGAAGGGGAGCTGGTTACATGGATGTCTATTCCTCTAGTTAGCTTTCAATAACAAATCACACTTAGTGGAGGAGAAAGGAGGCACGAGTGAGCGAGTGCTCTCCTGACTCACAGCACTGAGGCTTACAGACAAAGCCATCTGGTACTCCTCTATCATTCAATCTGAGGGGTAAAAAACCACTCCATCTTTCTGTTAAATGATTATCTAGAGCATGGTATCTTCTAGATGAGTATTCTGCTCAGGGAGACTACTAAATGACTTTTCATTCACATTTGTGAATTGACTCGGTGAGAAGAATCTCACAAAGCTATTCAGATTGGATCTTATCTCTGGATATAGATAGATAGATAGATAGATAGATAGATAGATAGATAGATAGATAGCAATCCACCACTATTGGAGTAAACAGTGTGAGATGAAGATATTGCTGGAGAATTTGAGTGACCAATAGTCATAAGGCTTTAAGTCTCTTTTAGTGACAATGTGCCTATTAGTCCATACAGCCATGACTAGGCCTGCCTGAGGCACAGAGACCAACTGTCTAACTGCCAGATTGATTGGCATGCTCATTGTCTCTGGCTGTCATCGCAGTGCAACCAGCAGGATCTCCCTGGTGGTGACTCAAATGGCTCCGCTGACAGTGACAGTGGAATAATGCTACTTTGGTCAAGAGGTGTGGGTATTCTAAGGGGCATTACCTCAAGCTTCTACTCACAGAGAGCTCCTGTTTCTTGCTTTTTTGATGGGTGAGTAGTTTAGACCTGAAGAGGCCAGGGGACTGATCTTGTATTTAGCTACTGCTCAGAAACTCAGATAACTGAAATGCTAGCCACTGCATCAGACCTCATAGACATCTTCCTCTAATTTTCCATTGAGTATCATCATTGAGGCTTGATTTCCAGGTCAAAATTATGGTAACTCTCCACAGATGGTAACAGTTTCTTTTTCCCTGATAGCCTCCATCACTAGCAGCACAGAGATTAAGAGCTTTTCTGGACAGTGCCACACAGTTCTTCTCACTGACTATGTAGGGAGTATTTTCAACCTCCCCATGCCACAGACAATGACATCTGCCTGCCCCTGGTTATGTGTGTCTGTCAGAGAGCTCCTAACCTCACTGACCTTAGACTCCACCCTAGGCTCTAGTGCCAAAACACAAGATGGTGCTCGACAGGCCACAGCATTCTTTGGCTAGGGGCCTTAGCTCGCTTCATCTAACATCATGGATGTGCTGTTGAGTCACAGCAGTGACTAACTGTTGATGCCAGGGAGGCAGAGGAGGACGGAGGAGGAGGAAACCAACAGGGTGTTAGAGGAAATGAAAGAAACCTTGGTGAGCAACCTAGTGCAGGGAGTGTGTAAGAGGCAGAAACATTGGAGGTGTGTGGGAGGTGGGGTCTAGAGGTTGCCTCCCCATCTATATCACTGAAGGGCCACCTTTACTCCTTTTCCCATTTACCCAAACACCATAGAAAGGAGCTTTATAACTGGTGTCATATTTATGTATCTCTCTGAATATGCTAATGCTTCTAGATAAAGACAGCAAGACAGGCAATAAAAGTCATCATTCTCTTTAACCCTGCACCATCTCCAATGCAGAAAGGACAGGACTTTAAAGGAAATAAGTAGAAACACTAGGTGAACTACACAAAATGCTGGAATGGGGCAGAGACCCGAGAGCAGGGAAGCAGACACTTAGACGAGTGTCCAAATGACTTCCTGGAAGCCCCCAGGGAGGGCTGAGATTGAAGAAGCTGGCTTAGACTTGATGTTTCCCAGGAGCTTTGTCTGAAGCCCAGGCTAGAACTGTTTACCGTACTGTGGCTCGTAGGAGTAGAAAGCAGGTTGCTTTGAACAGAGAAGTGGGTGGGATGGCATTGGTGGCATAGATCGTGGACTGAGCACGTGAGGTTCTGGTCCCTTATGCAGCAGCTGTTTGTATTGGACGATGACTAAACTGTAGTCACAGAGCAGGGTTGGTGTGGAGTTATGTGACAGGTCTGTGTGAGCATGTACACACTCTGTATCACTTAGGTATCAGTCATCAGACTAGCCGTTTGCATACCTCATCACATACAACTCTACTCTCTGACTGGGGATGCATTCCTGCCCTCCTGTTTCAGTTACTCCTGCTAATTCAGGACTCCTTGCACCACAATTGTGGCGGCTGTGGTTGCTGTGGGTCCCCTCCCCCTTTCCTACACATTTCTCATTCTCCTCGGCAGGTATTTTATGCTCGGCTGCTCTCAGTACCCCATTTCCTTTGCTTCCTAAGCATGGCTCTGTTTGCCCACTGTTGTCTAGTGCCTTTCCAAGCTGCTTCTCTATTGCTGACCAGTAAAGCTGCAGGGGTCTAGGTGTGTAAAATACCTTCTTGTTTGAGCTTCAATTACTTATGTAGACAGGGACCCAGAAGCACCCGTCACCCATTGCATTATTTGGAAGAGTCCTGGGGTCAATAAGGATACAAGATTCTTCCAAAAGAAACCCATGTAACAGCTTGATCATAGAGACAGATACTTAGACAAAGTTACCAAAGCCTACTGGGGAAGGACCAGAGTGACCATCACTATTGGTGATGGGGAAAGGCAAGGACTATTGAAAAGGATGGAAGGGAAGTGGAGAAGTGTTCCTCTAGAAGAGAAAAGGTAAATAAATGATCAGGCAGGTTCCTTTTAGATTTGTCACAGACGCCTAGAAAGGGCTGGGGTGGGACTGTCTCAGCTGACTCAGAGGACAGAATACTCCAGGCAAGCTTGCAACATCTTTGCTGTGAATACTAAAGGGGAGACAGAAGAAAGAGAGCAACAATAACCCACATGTGCATGTGTGTAAGAGGAAGAAACCATGCATGAAAAAGTGAATATTCTGGTCTGAGGTTTGGTCAGAAAAACTGCAGCAAGTATCTTGGGAGGAACAGTAGAGTGAAGGCTCCCAAGGCAGAAACTAGACAGCCTGGACCAAACCTGTGTGCTATCTATAACGTATCAGTTAAAATGTATAAGCCTTACATTTCCCCTGCATCAAATGGAGGATAATAAAGCCCATTTCATAGAATTAATCCAGAGAACAAAGGAGATGATGTGTTAGAGATGCTCAGATGGTGTCTGCTAAGTTGTACTGTAAAGTATTGTACCTGGGCCGCTCTTTCTAAAACTAAGAGATGGGGCAGGGACTGGAAAGAGAGATTCCTCTTAAAAGAGGGACTTGATGAATAGCCACACTTACGAGCTGATAGGGTTGCCTGGATGACCTTCACCTTCTCAGGCATTCATACAGGTGACTTTGTCATCTTTCCCTCTGATACAAAGATGCATTGGAACCCTTCTTTCCAGTGCATCCTAGTTGTGTGACTCTGTTTATGGCATTCAGCTGCCTAGAGCCTTGGTTCTTTTCTGCAAATTGGTCTGGCACCCCCAGCACTTACAAGTATTGAATGGAGCAAACAAATTAAGTCTCTAGCCCGATATATGATTTCTAGTTGCCTAATCAATTCTGACTTTTCTTCTGCCACCATATGCTCATCAGCAGTGACCTTTGGGGCCTCTTTGTAGAACCACTTAGTGTCAAATGTTAAGAATTCTCAAATGTCAGAGCAGACAGTACTCAAAGAGCAATCAACCCGATTATTCTTCTCAACAATTGCCCTGATGGAGGATAATGGATACTTGGTTTTGTCATGTCTGCTCTTTTCTGCTGATCCTGGGCATCTAGAAGGTGTTGTTTACAGGGAAGTGTAGAGCCTCTCAAGAGGTGTCACTATGTGTGCTTTTCCTCAACGGCAAGCACTCAAGATACATTTCCCCTGGCCTAGATGATCTGGAGATACTGCAAGGTACTGGCAGGGCTATCACAAATGCCTGCTCCTCCACGTGCCTTTCCCCATGCAGCTGCATTTGCTCTGAAGGGCTGCTGGCAGCTGTATTTTGTGAGCTTTTCCTTTTGCAATGATTGTGAAACTCCAGCATGCATCACAGCCATGTGGTATGACAGACAGACACATTTCTCACTTGTTAAGACTGCAACAAGGCCCACGAGTTTGTATTCTTACCAATTTATAGATGACGCTGCTTCTGAGGACCTGGGAGCCCCACCTTGAGAACCAGTACCTTATAATTTCTCTTCCCTCTAGCCAGAAGGCACACAACAAAAATCCATAAAACCCAGAGAGAACTCTCAGTCTACTTTCTGACATTTCTCCCTGGGCTGAAGCAATATTTTCTCAGGGAGATGTGAAATGATTTTTCCTTTACAGTTTGCTTTCTCCATGGTCTATATATATTAAAAACACTTTGTCAACCTTATCAGACTGGGTCAAGACCAATGAAAGATATTAGTTATGAAACCAATAATTTAGACTGACTTTTTTTTTTTGTTTTTTTGAGACAGGGTTTCTCTGTGTAGCTCTGGCTGTCCTGGAACTCACTCTGTAGACCAGGCTGGCCTTGAACTCAGAAATACGCATGCCTCTGCCTCCCAAGTGCTGGGATTAAAGGCGTGCACCACCACCGCCAGGCTTGAAGGCTGACTTTTAGTGTTCCATTACTTTTCTAACTAAAATGACTTCTTCCATTACCTCTGTCTATCCCTCTATCCTTTTATTTTTAATTTCTTTTTTATTAAAAATAGATTCTTTTCCTATACTATATATTCTGATTATTGTTTCCTTTCCCTCCACTCCTCCTAATTTCTCCCCACCTTTCTTCCCCTCCAGATCCCTTTCTGTCTCTCACTAGAAAAGCACAGGCTTCAAAGAGCTAACAACTGAACATGACCAAGTAAATTATAATGAGATGAAGGAAAACTTTTCATGTTGAAGTTGGACATAGAAACACAACAGGAGGCAAAGAATCCCAAAAGCAGGCACAAGAGTCAGAGACCCACTCATTCACCCAGTCAGGAGTCCTATAAAGATACTAAGCCGAGAGCTATGATATTTACACAAAGGACCCCATGCAGACCTATGGAAGGTATGCATAGGAGACGTGAATGTAAATTTAAGAGAGTAAATTCCTCATTAGAGTGTCTTTAGGTAAAACTCAAATTTTATAAGCACTAATGCTTTTTCAGAGTTGGGACACTACAAGGCAGAACTCTGGGCTTCATTCTCCAAGACTTATTGTTTAGTAGTTTGGGGTTTATGGCTATTTTGGGAATGTTGTTCCTTCTTGTGATAAGTCAGCATTACAGCACATAGTGGGTATAGTGGTACTTGGAAGGCTGAGGCAGGGGGACCATCATAAGTTCAAGGTCTGTTTGGGCTACAGTGTGAGGCCTGCTTTAAGAAGAAACAAAGACAGGGTTAGGTGAGGAGGGAAAACAAGGCAACAGTGACTCCTCATAGTTACATTGAAGTGCCTACCACTGCCTACCACTAAAAAGGCATGCAGGATGATACAACACACGCTGTCAATCACCCAATCAACTCCTTTCTCTTAAAAATTTGTTGTTCAATTTGGGTTGGCAGTACAATTAAGAGGTAAGTACAGATACCTCCTACGTGCCCTGATGCTCACATAGCCTCCCCATATCATCCTGGCCATGTGGGTGGGACAGGCGTTATGATTCCTAAGCCTTGACTGATGCATTGCTGTCACTGAGGGCCCACACTCTACAGTAGAGCTCACCCTTGCTGGTGTATAATCTATGAGTTTGGACAAATGTGTATAGCATCACATAGCCTACGATTGGTACCTTAAAAATCTGTGGACCATCTTCACCCTTTCCATCATCCTCCCCAGTGATCACTGCTCTTCCTACTGTCTCCCTGGTTTTGCCTTTTTTAAGATGTCAGATAGTTGGTGTGACACAATGTATTATCTATTCAGAGTCTATTAGTTCTTTCTTTAAACAAACAAACAAAACCTCAAGTCTCATATTAACTTCTGATGATAAAGAAATAGAAGAATCTAGATGGCTTGTTAGCACAAGTTTGGCTTCTTTCTGTGTCACTTTCGTTCTCACGGCCAGTGGTATACTCTTAGGTCATCACCAGGACTGTTCCCTGTATGGTATGCTTGCATTTGGAAAATGGTCAGCATTCTGCCCCATAGGATTGTATTTCTTTCTTTCTTTCTTTCTTTATTTTTTTTTTTTTTGGAGAACAGTATTGAGCAGAAGTACTTGAAGAGTCATAGGCATTTGCCAAAGTGTCCAGTATGGCTTTCAGGAAGCAAAGTGTTTCTAGGCAGGCAGACTTCCAGCTTTGATCAAAGTGCTTCTAATGATCAGCTTTTTTCACTTGATTTTGTGGAAGAAGATGTCTCCAAAGGATGGAGTTAGTGCTTGACAACTTTTGTCTAATTCTTAGCACGTGTCATAAGTTATGATGTTAAAAAATAATAGGACCAACAGTTCATAGTGAGACTTCCATGTCCATTTGCTATGTAAGTATTGCCATGGGAGATTACTCAAGAATCTGGATATTTAGGATGCTAAGGTCATTCTGATAGTCGGGCTAACTGGGAGTCACCAGATAAACCGTGTTTCTTAGACTGATGGTTTGAATCACTTGTAAATGTATCAAGTTTAACTTATTGTAATATAGACTCTTAGGACTTTCCAAATCAATTTCTCATAGGAAAAAACACCCCACGATATTCATATATTAAATTTAGAGAGATGCCCACTCCCATAAATAGACAACAGAGCTTGGAAATGTGCTCTGAATCAAGCTGAAATCGCCATTTTTGCACTTGCATAATTTTGTAAGCTGCTTTAAAAAGGCAGAGATTGGTCATGACACAGCAGTTGAGCTCTTGTTATTTTATACCCAGCACACTGTACAGATCATTGTTGACCTCACTGTTTTGTAACACATTTATATATTTGATGCCTGCCGACAAGAATTGGGTTCTACAAGTGCCCCCAATTCCTGCTACCTGCCCTTCCAGCTAATACTACTCTTTTGATCTCTGTTTTTAATCTGGAAAGAGGCCAGTTTGGACAAGGACTCTCTTCCCCATCTAATCAGTCAAAGAATTCTGGAATTCTTCACAAAAGTCTGTATCAGAAAACACACCAGACATGATGAGAAAATGGAGCAGCTATGAGCTGGCTAAGACAGACGATTTCTAGTTACTGAATTAATTAGAATCTTCGTGATTAACTTGATTAGCACATAGACTCCAAGATCTCCTTTTAAGTTCTTTTGGTGAAGATATAGCAAAATTATTTCAGATGAAAATATCCAATGACTTACAACCACCTGGTTGTGAGATTGGGGTCCTTAATTGTCTGGTACCCAATGCCCAAACTTAGATTCCCTGTGTTCCTAATAGCCTTACTCTTTGGTTATTCACTGGTTCCTCCCATGGAACATGGTTCCTTACTCATTTTGTAAGGGGGATGGGCATGGGGAATGGGCTCCGGTTTCCTTGCTGTGTGACTTTGAGGGTGCTAGCAAATCTCCTTGAATTAGTCTCACTGTCCACAGATGGAGAGGATTGATCTTCACTCTGTAATGTTAAGACCACACGAGATTAAGGCATCTAGCCCATAATTTACATCAAATCTCTTGCTTTGTATCCTTTCTTTAGAAAACAAACTTTCTAGCTTGTTCTTGTCAGATAACATCTCCTTCCCTCCTATGTGTCTAGCTCGTACAGCCACTTCCAGGTCTGCTGTACTGACAGGAGAGTGGGTGGTGTTGAATTTGTGTTTCTAGGTTCCTGGATCTCCAACCCTTGCCTGAAGCTCAATTCTTTCTGAATTAATGTGTGCTTACATTAGCCAGCTATTTGTGAAGGAGGCCTGCACTATGGTAGAACAAAGCTTGCGTTTCACCTCTTTATTCAGGGCAATGTTTATGGGTGACTTGCTAAGTGTCCTTCCACATTGCCCCAGATCCTGTACACGTCAGACCCACTCCTTCCTGCTATCAAAATTACATTCCTCCTATTCTGTGTAAAAGCTGAGCTGACTGACAGATTCTAGCTAAGACTTCCTGTACTTATTCATTTTCTTCTAGGTTCTCTTTAATAGTTCCCTGTGTAAGAGCACACCCACCACGTCTTTTTGAATGCCATTACTACAAGTGCATTTTAAAAAAGCAGCCAATTATATAGTGACAAATTACAGAAAGGTGTTTCATCTGTGGAAAAGAAAACTTGTTCTAATAGCTCTCTCTGCATTTCCTCTCCAAATTCTTAGTGTTCTTTTACCTGTCCCCTTCCAGCTCTTATGGAAACTGGTCCTCAGCAGGTTTCTGAGTCTGAAAGAATCTCCACTGACAGCATCTCTCCACACCTATTAGCCATCCTCACCTCCACAAACTCCGGGCAATCACCCTGTAGTGAGTGTTGGACTGTGGGGCGGTAGGGCTCATGGGAGAAGGACAGTCTTCTCTGTCTTCTCGGAATATATGAACATCCTTAACATGACTTCCTTGAAGGCTGTAATTGTTGATTTCATTATAGTTCATGCTCCATTCTCCCACTCTGTCTGCCTTTCTGCTGTAAATCTGTATTCCCCAGTGGCTGAGCTGGAGGGAGCATGCTAAGATCACAGATGACTCACTGGGTCTGACGAGAGCCTTTGAATTTGGCTCTTAACCTTTCTCAGGCTCCCACTAGCCTCTCTCTGTCTCTCTCTGTCTCTCTCTGTCTCTCTATCTATCTATCTATCTATCTATCTATCTATCTATCTATCTATCTATCTCCTCCATACTTTTCAGTGTTTGCAGCCCTCCATTCCTGCTTTGCACAGATCTCAGACTTTGATCTGCTTCTACATTGCAGCCTACCCACACAGGTAGCACCTTTTCTAAGTCTGAGACTACCAATCATCTGAAACGGAGAACAGGAGAGAAGGTGAAGAAACTGGATGATTTGAAGGAGCTGGCTGATTTGACTGCCTTCACTATGGGCAACCTTACGACCATGTCTCCACTCCTCATGCAAGCCTCCATCACCACCACTATCCACTCTGTTCTCTCTCCGACACGGGCCAGTGATTTATCATCTCCATTAGTTCCTTTCATGCATCACATAATAGAGGGCTGTCACTTGTTTCTTGAGTGCTCTCTGTGGTGATTTGCTTTCTCCATTTGCCTGTGGACCAGAGTGCCACGTGCATACTCAATTTGATGAACATGGATGATTTTAGACCCTGCTAATCCAGATAGAATAAAAGAGTAGAGCCCCCTGGGTCTGAAGCCAAATGACTATAAGCAACCAATTTCTCTGCAGTTTCCCATTCTCTGTCCACTCATGAGGAAAGTGCTCTCCTGCAGGCCCACACCCAGGACCTCTTGATCAGATCACATAGCTTGCTGAAGCCAGGCCAGGGATGTATATGAGCTCTAAATGTTTGGAGTGTTTATTACACAAACACTCGAATGAGAAGGGCCCTATGGTGTGAATACAATAATTAATGGGGTTCAGGGTGGGTTTTACATCAGGGCCACTCTGGGAGTGTTAGTGATTCTCTGTTGATCATACTCATCCATAGCCTCTATTACAGCTCCTCCTTCCAAAATTCCTATCCCTGACACACTTGGCTTTCATCTCTTAATTGAATTCCAGGGAAGGACATGGCAGCTGTGCAGAGGACGCTGATGGCTCTGGGCAGCGTTGCAGTTACCAAGGATGACGGCTGCTACCGGGGAGAACCATCCTGGTTTCACAGGTAAGTTGTTCTCTGCCTCCCAGAAGGAGGGCCTGACCCCTTAGCTACCAGACGATGTCTACACAGAAGTAAATGAGGAAGTCCCACAAGGCCCACTGAGCAAGGAAGGCTGATGATACCATTCTAGACAACATCCAACCAAAGCAGAGGTTCTTGGGTTTTCCTGTTAGTTCCCTGCATCCCCTCTCCCTTGTTCCTTTCCTTCTTCTTTCATCTTTTAAACTTTCTTTGATGCACCTAATGAAGATTAAATATGTCCTTCTGCCAAATACCATTGCAGTTTATAACTATTACCCAGCAAGTTGACTAATAGCTTTCTCTTTGCCTCTCAAAAGAGTCCTGGTCTGGGTGATGAATTATATGATTATTTCAGTCTACTGAAAGGGCCTTTTAGAACATTTTCCTTAAGTGTTCTTTTTGGCAGTGAGAACAGAGACAGAGATGTGAAAACTGAGGACTTTGGTGGCAGATGAAAGGGATGCTTGTTACAGCTACTTGGTAATTTACTTTATTCATCTTTCTAATGTTTTTTTCTCATCCTGGAGAAATATAGAAAGACCTAGACTATGTCCTTTACATGACCTTGACCTAAAACCCTCCTGGAAACTTGTCAAGATCCTGGTATTAATCTCAGAATTATTTAAATGATTCTCCATGGTCCAACAGTATTTACTATTTTACCCAAATTTGGCATTCTCTGGTGAGGAAATATAAATTATTCCTTGAAAATTCCTAAATTGATTGGGCAGCAAAGCAGAGATCAATCCTTAGTCCTGGATGGAAAGGGTAGAATGGGACTTATGACATGTTTTATAAGAGGAGTTAGTTTTGTGAGAGGAGATATCTGAGAAGGTGAGGAAGTGAAGGCTGAGGGGAAGGAAAAGAGAGAAGCTGAGAAAGTTTCCAGAAGGGCAGCCAGCCATGGGCATGGATTCATTCTCTCTCTCTCTCTCTCTCTCTCCCCCTCTCCCCCTCTCTCTCTCTCCCCCTCTCCCCCTCTCCCCCTCTCCCCCTCTCCC